AGGACTCTCTGCTGTCACGGCTATGTCCTTACTGCTCCGCGCACTGCTCCGCCCTCGCCTCGCGCCTCCTGGGTACGCCTTGCACTAGACTCCATGGGGCCACTGGAGTCTGTCATCCAGGTCCTGGCAAGCTGTATCCTAGCCAGCTGCCTGGACCTGTTGGCTGGACTTCCTGCACTTCTGGCGAGGAACGGCCTCCATTCCACACTCAGCCCATGGGCCGCTAACTTATTCCATGTGTATCAGCATCTGACTGCCATGTAGGAGTGACTGTTACAATAAATAAACCCTGTTACAGACACTGGGAAAAAAATTAAGTGTCTCCCTGACCCTGCATTCCGTCCCCCTCTCTGTGCTGAGACCCTGCACCCCCATCCTGCTCCTGCCCCCTCCCCTCTACACATAGCCTGCTCCTGCCCCCTCCCCCTGGTCAGACACCCTACTCTTAGCCTGCTCCTGCACCCCTTCTCCCCCCCAGATCCTGCACCCAAGTGTGAGGAAGTGTGCATGTACTGCTCCTCCCCTCCCCACAGAAAAAGCTGGGGCAGAGCCCAGGGCAGGAGACCAAGCGGGATGCGCAGTAGAGAGAGCCCCTTCTCCCTCCCAGGAGAAGGGCATAGCCCAGGATAGGAGGGTTAACTCTTGGCATGCCTGTTCGGAAAGATTGCCGACCCCTGGTTTTTAGTATTAGTGTATCCTTTTCAAGCATTAACTTAAAAAATAACAGTCTGGTAGCACTTTATAGACTAACAAAACATGTTCATCTATAAAGTGCTACCAGACTATTGTTGTTTTTTAAGTTTATCCTGTATAGACTAACTCGACTACTCCCTGAAGCTTCTTCAAGCATAGTCTCCCTTCTGGAAGAAATCCTGATGGCAGATCTGAAGATCAAGAAGTCAGACGTAAGGAAGAGACAAAACAGGCTTCAGGCTTTCCTCTGTCAAGAAATGCATCAATTAAGCCTGCTTGATTCAGCACAATATTCCAAGAAGATGCGCAGAGTAGTTTCCGTTCCATCTTTGGAGAAGTACATCTGTGAGGAAGTAGCATAAGGGACCATCATCCCATTCACCATCCTCTTTGGTTCTGACCTCTAAGAAGATATCTAGAAAGAATCCTAAATCCATGGATGAGAATCCTAAAAAAGACCAGTAGAAATAGCATGTGTGAGCAGAGCTAACCAATGAATAAGAAACTCCTCAGAGCCGAGAATCTTAGAACCAAGTAGAGAATTTCCACACAAAAACTCTGCCAGCAGAATGAAAATATTTGCAAGTGAAGTAACAAATCTTATTACAGACTTAGTTCTGTTTGTTATATCCAGTCCAGACATTAAAAAAATCTGAATTTATCATCAGCAGTGCAAATTAGAAAGAATGAATTGTGCCAGATCTACATGTTGTTTCCAGTCTTTTTACCCAGTTTCCTGTTACTGCAGTGACATGCTTTTGCCACCTGGATATGATGCCTGCATCTTAACTGAAGCCAAGAGTGAAGAATTAAGAAAGAGGAAATCACATTCAGACTCATCTTCTGCTCAAAAGAGAAGGGTAGAGGAGTGCTATTCATGGCTTCTGCTTCATCCTCCTAAAACTAGGTCAAATTCCTAGTAAATCAGGTTATCCAGTGCCAGAACCTCTGTGTCCTGGATTGGATCTGGTATCAGATCTGAAATCTGTATACAGTTACCAATGGGAGGTGCTATCTTCAGTTAGTACATCCTTAAAAGAATTTCTGGCTCTGAACCATTGCAAGAGGATCCTTCTTACGGATCATGTTATAAACTGGATTTAGCTGTGGATTACTGGTCAGATTGGCAGATGCCACCGTGTTCAAAAGGTCCTTGTTGGCCACACCCCATCCCGAGATCTGCAGCATGTGCAGTACAGTACAGCTGGAGTCCCATCCAGCACTTCCAGAAACAGTTCGTGGAGATTTGAAGGTATACTGCATGTGTGGCCAACCCATTTAACAAAGAGTGCCTAAACAGCAGTGGAAAAAATGCAAAGAGCTGCACCAGAATTGTCAAGCAAAAAAAAAAGGAAAGGAAAGCCCCCCTGAATTGTCAAACAGGGAAAAAAAGAAAGCTACTCCCCCGAATTGTCAAAAAAAAAAAAGAACACCCCCCCCCCAGAATTTTCAAGCAAAAAACAAAAATGGGGAGGCTTCCCCTTTAAAGAGCAAGCAAGCTTTTTGGCCATATCAGGCTCCCGTCAACAGCTGCCATCTTGGGCATCATTTTTAATCACCGATCCGGTGAGCACAGGGGAGGCGGGGAGGAGCCTGGGGCCATTTTGGGGGGGACACACTTTTGTGGGGGAAGAACTGCATGCGGCTTTCAAACTGCAGGTTGGCCACGGCTGGTATATTGGATCTATTGACAAGGTGGAGGGAAACCAGTCTCCTACTCTGACTTATGGCAGTCATAAAAAGAACAAATTGTTTTATTACAGGAATTCTAATAGAGAAATCCTGAACAAACATCTCTCAGAGTCCTGCCTCTGCATTGTGACCCGTCCCCAACCTAGAATGGCAATAGCAGTGGTCCCTTCTCCACTCCAAGAGTTATGTGTGGCAACATAGGATCCCACAAATCCATGGGATCCCGATCCTTGTCCTAGTCCTAGATAGGCAGAGATGATAGGAAGGAGAACCCATCCTCAATGCTTCCCTTGGTAATGAAGGTGCATGTGTTTAGGGAGATGGGCCAGTCCAGTGCCTGTTGCATTTTTCCTCTCCTGCCATGCAGTCTTCTGCTGGTTGGGTGTTAATAGCGTTCCCCCGGGGAAGAGGGTCTTGGAACTAATATGCAATAGAGATAAATGAGGTAGTTCAAACCTATAGTCTCAGGCTCACTGCAAACTTAGGGAGATATGTTATATTAGTCAGTCCATGTTTGACTTTTCTTCCCAAATATGGGAACTAGAAACTTTTTGAAATAGCTGAGATTCTCATATAATCACTTGGCTCTGAAAGCTGAGGCCCCAGACACGGGGCTGTAATGCCTATTCCTTATTTAAGCCATCCTTGGGTTAAGATGGTCAGGTAACTTCTCTCTCACAGGCAGGGGCGGCTGAGAGTTTTGTGGAGCCCAGGGCAGCACAATTTACCAGGGCCCCCCTTTGGAGAAAAAATAGAAAAAAGGTGTCAAATGCGCAAATTGAGGGCTATTTTCATATTAAATGTGAATTGGGTAAATTTGATAGAAACTTAATTTAGTTGGATAATTTTTATTTTAATTATATTGTAGGTCATTCTTAAACAAAACTCTTCATAATTAAAAATGTTCTTTTTTATTTGTCTCCTCCCCCTCCTGCCTCACTCTCTCTTTCTCTTCTCCTCCTTCCTCACTCTCTCTTTTTCTCCTCCCCCTCCTGCCTCACACTCTCTCTTTCTCTTCTCCTCCTCCCCCTCCTGCCTCACTCTCTCTCTTTCTCTTCTCCTCCTCCCCCTCCTGCCTCACTCTCTCTTTCTTCTGCCCCCCGGCCGTGTACATCACCGCGCCGCCCTCCTTTGCCTCCCGCCATGGTGCTCTGCTGAGTTCTGCGCCGCTCTGCTGGGATGCCGCGCAAGAGCAAGTGGCTCAAGTGGCCGTTTGGGCCCTGCACGGCAGCTCAGCATGGGGTCCGGGGCAGCCACCCCACTCTCCCTGCTCTATATCTGCCGCTTCTCACAGGTGCTAGAATCAGATGCTTTATGGGAAAGTTTAAGAGTCTCTATAATTGATAGTTAAGCAATAACGTGCCTATTGGTGACGTTTCTTCCTAACTCAAGGTAGTTAATGATTGTGTCCCGATGTATGAGGATTTGTATACCATAAGAAGTTTTATTCTAGCTAATATAATAGAATATTTTATTATCCACTTAAATATTGTATATTTTATTTAATTCTGTGATTTTTGCTGCAGTATCTCATAGCAGTGAGTTCCAAAGTTTAAAAATGCATTTTGTAAAAACATTGTCTTCTATTTGTTTATTTATTGGGCATAATTCTGATTGGCTATCTCTTTATTCTTGGACTATAAGACAGTAAAGAGGAGCACTTGACTTACTTTTTCCTGTATAAATCATTATTTTTATTCTTGTAACATATCATCTCTTATACAAGCTCTCTCAGGGTATGTCTACATTACAGAGAAGATCAAAACGGCTGCTGTCGATCTTCCAGGGTTTGAATTAGCAGGTCTACTAAAGATATGCTGATTTGAACTGAGGGGGCACTCTGGTTAATGCTGGTAGTCTTGCTTCCAGGAGGAATAAAGGAAGTTGAAAGAGAGTGAGTGTTCTTCCTTCGATTTCCTGCAATGTGGACAGCAGCAAAAGTTGAGTTAAAATACTTCAACTTCAGCTATGCAATTAACATGGCTGAAATTGCGTATTTTAATTTGACCTTATCCCATAGTGTATACATGCCCTCATAATTCTTATCTGTAACACTTTCGTTTTGAGATGAGTGGTCAAAATGGAATACAGTACTCCAAGTGAGGGCATACTATTAATTTATATATTGGCATTATACAACTATAATAAAGCTTAAGATTTTATTTTGCTTTTTTGTCTACTATTGTACATTCAGAAAATACAATTTAGCAGTTCATAGTGATATACAGCGACAATTTTCCCTAAGTAGCTAACTTAGAATCCATTACTTTGTATGTATAGTTCAAAAGTTCCTCTATATTGGCATTGGCTTGCAGTTGTGCACATTTTAATTTCATCATTTCTCATGCTGTTAAGTGATCTAATGTTGTTAGAAATCCTGCAGTTTCTCACATTCCATTATACTCTAGTTTAGCCTAAATAATATTGCATCATGTACAGAGATTGTCACATCACTCTTGTCCTTCTCTTTTACAGGTAATACAAATGTATTTCAATAACATTGAGGATAGGATCCTGGTTTTTCAGTTTACTTTTTTTCACTAAGATTCATACTTAATTACATGGAGAATTTTAACCTGTTTGATTTAATTTCTCTTAGTATTTTTCCTTTATAGGGTACTCAGAAAATATGCCTCCCTTACAGTCCCACGAAAACATTATCAGTGAAATCTATTTTAAGGTAAATATTCATGAATGAGTTATTAAATGTATTAGTTCCCTGTTTTCCTGTTCTGTCACTTAAAAGCTTTACTTCGGTTCATATTTTCTATTCTATTATGGCTGTAGAAAGAAGTGAAACAAAGAATACAGGTCTTAAGGAAGGCACATATATGCACAATGCCTCCAGTTTGGGTGCTATAGAATGCCAACTAATATACCCTTGTGTCACAGCAATGAAGAAACATAACTCCTTTTTTTGGAGGAGGGGAAGGGAGGAAATATCTTCAAGTTAGAAATTGGGCACTAACTGGAACTAACTGGTGCTTGTGAGGAAATGATCTTGGGCTTGCTTGTGAGCAGATTGGGACAGGAAACCTTACAAAGTTGATTGGAATGTGGCTGAGTGAGTAGAGGAAACCAGGATAGAAACAAATAATACAAAATGGATTGGAGCCCTTAGATCAGGAGTGGGCAAACTTTTTGGCCTGAGGGCCACATGAGGGTATAGAAATTGTATGGAGTCCAGGGGGGAAAGAGGTTTTTGGTGTTGGGGAGGGAGGGGGTTGCAGAGTCAGGGAGGGGGCTCAGAGCTTTGACATGAGATTGGAGCATGAGTGTTGCTCAGTGATTGGCTGCGTTTATCTCCTCGAGCAGCTCCCAGAAGTAGACTCGTGTCCCCCTTCTGGCTGGCTCCTATGTGGAGGCACGGCAAGGCTTTCTCATCTGGGGTGTGTGTCTATTCTACATAGCTGTGTCAAAAAAGGGCCATATTTCCAACAAAAACTGAGTTACTGCCACACTGAAATCGCGTCTTCTGAAAGTAAATGGAAAGAACAGAGGGGTTTTTCTGGCGTTGGTAATCCTCTTTCTCAGGAGCGGCCCTAGATGAGCTGCCGGCAACTGGCGCCCTATGTGAAATGCACAATCGGTGCCCCCGCTTCCAAAGCCCTCAATGGCCGTTTATCTTGGCACCCTAGGCGACTGCCTAGTTTGCCTGTATTGATGGGCCGCCACTGCTCTTTCTATGAAGAAGAAGCCTTTTTCCAAAAGAGCTCTTTTGGAAAAAGGTGTGTGTGGACAGGGAAGAGGGAGTTCTTTCAAAAGAAGAGGAAAGAGGAAAAAGCACAGGTGCCCTGATGGCCACTCAGGCTGTGTCTAGACTGCAGGGTTTTTTCGAAAAAAGTAGCCTTTTTTCGAAAAAACTTCACCTGTGTCTAGACTACAGCCGTGTTCTTTCTAAATTAAATTGAAAGAACGCGGCTTTTCTTTCGATGGCGGTACTCCTCATTTCACGAGGAAGAATGCCTTTTTTCGAAAGCTCTCTTTCAAAAAAAGGCGTTCTTTAATGCAAACAGGGCTTTTTTGAAAGAGAGCATCCAGACTGCCTGGGTGTTCTCTTTTGAAAAAGCGGCTTGCTTTTTCGAAAGTACTGCTTGCAGTCTAGACACTCTTTTTCGAAAGAGGCTTTTTCGAAAGTATCTTTTGAAAAAGCCTCTTTCGAAAGAGGCTTGCAGTCTAGACGTAGCCTCAGTCCATAGTAATCACAGCTTAAATGCAAGATAGTGTCCATTTAATGTGGGTGCTATCTTTTGAAAAAGCAGATCATTTTTTCAACGCGCTTTTGTGTGTAGATGCTCTTTTTTGGAAGTTTTTTCGGAAGATCTCTTCTGAAAAAAGCTTCTTCCTAAAGAAGCCTACAGTCTAGACATAGCTTAGGATATCATGGATTTTCTTTTGCACTGTTTCTCAGGCTTTTGAAAGCTGCCCCTCTGCCCCACCTTTTAGAAAAGGAAATCAAATGCACTTCCTCTCCCCCACAAACTCATTATATGTAGCTAAAGGTGTTAGCAATCTTTATGTACGCCTCTTCCATGGACCTCCCAACCTCCCTCCTAATCTTTTGTTCCCCTGACCGTGAAGCGTAATAGTTAACAGTGTTAACATTTAGAATATCATTAACAGATGAGATCAAAAGGGCAATTTGCAGCTTACAGAGCTATTGTTCACGCTCTCTCCAATCTCAAGCGTAACCAATCACTGAATTGGTTACACTTGCTTAACCTTTTGAAGTTTGTTGAAACCCTACCAAATAGAGATTAATTAAAGAAAACTGAGACAATAAAGAACAATTGTAAGTTTTGTCCATTTCGCTTTCTTTCCTCCCAGTTGGTTCTTTGTGCCCAATCCTGAAATGTTGGATAAAACAATACTAGGAGAGTGATAGTGGATAAAAGTAAAGTCAGAGGTTAGATAAGGGTACATTATTTTTGTCTGTTAAATGAAAGTCCTATTTTATGTTTTTCTCCATATACAAAGATTTTATCTTGTTTCTTATGTAGACAGTTGACTTTTTTTATTTTCCTGTCTTGCTTGTGCATTTTTAGGTCGTAATTTTCTTTTGTTAATATGCCCATTTGTTTTGATTTTCACTTTCCTCATATTACTTTTTAGGAAGTGGAGGAAAAGTTTAGAAAGCAAAATTTACTATTTTGTGATACCAAAAGGGTAACAGAGATAGTCCTTAGCCCAAAACTTTGGATGCAAACAAAATAAGGTTAAGTTGGAGGCAGTGCAATATCTTACTCATTTCTTTCTCTAAAATGAAAATCTCTCAAATTTCCTTTTAGTAGTCAGCCTTATAGCGCAAAGAGATCATTAAAATGAAAACATGTGTGATAACAGGGCTAGTGTGTTAATTCTTTATGTGCAGGCATGTATCACTAGATGACTAATAATGACAAATGTCTTTTCTTACAAAATGTATTATTTAATTGCATTTCAGTGCAATGAGTCTTGACAAATTTGAAAAGAGCCCTAGGGAAATTCCTCACCCTGAGATACAGAAGGTAAGAAACAGGCTATTTTCTTCCTCTGGTATTTTAAAATAAACTTTATTTATAGAAATAAATTGCAGTATGTATTGCTCAGTTGCAGTGGCAGGACATACAAAGTATTGATATTGCCAATAAACATAAGACATGTGATATTGCCAATAAACTTTGTGGCTTAAAGAGTTTTAAAGTGTCACTTGAAAAGGAAAACAACTTTGATTTTTGAAGCAGTGGAAATAAGATGGTTAAATCTTTGTCAGAGTGCTAACTGTGTTTTTAAATTATTTTTGTTTAAACAGGATTTACTGGTTCTTGAAGAGCAAGAGGTAAGTGTATACTGGTCGCTTTGAACTCATAAAACCCATTCTGCAAATATTAGCTTTACATTTAGAGTAAGTTCCTCTTTATAACTGAGAAACTAGCTATTTCTTATAACAAGAACTGTAATGTGGGACACTGAAGAGCATGCAAAGCTGAAGATTATAATTTCCATTATGAAGGCCCATTTAAGTACATAATAGAATTTTGTTATATGTCTCAAAGACAAAGTAGTGGAGAAAAATACAAATGTGGTACAGTGAAAGCTGTGTTGTTCTGTCCTGTACTAACCAGAAAGTTCTATAAACTAGCATTTCTGATCTTCACTGAAAGTCTGATTTATAGTTCAGTTGGCATGGGACCAGCATTTTCTCTTCATGGCTCCATGTGGCTCCTCAAAAGTTAGCAGTATGTCCCTACTTCTCCTAACCAGAGGAACAGCTACGGGGAATCTGTTCACTGCCCCCGCCCAGAGCTATGGGTCTGCAGCTCCCATTGGCTGGGACCACAGTCAGTGCGAGCTACAGGAATGGCACCCGTGGGAGGAGGCAGCAAGCAGAGTCTCTTGGCCATGCTTCTACCTGGGAAAGTAGGGACTTGTTGCTGCTTGGGGGGAACCATCCAAGGTGAGCACCACCCAGTTTTGTTACCCCAATACTCCCCCCACATCTCAACCCCCAGCCCTGAACCCCATCCTGTACCCAGACTCCTTCCTCAAGCCTGAACCACCTTCTGCACTCTGAACGACACCCCCACAGCCTGGATCCCCCTCCTGCGTTCCAAATCCTTAGTCACTGGACCCACTCCAGAGTTGCCCTCACCCCTTCCTGCACCCAACATCCTGCCTTATCCCAGATTCCCCTCCTGTAAGTTGATCCACTCATTTCTGGCATCACGCTGCAAGTAAATACTCCCTTTCACACCCCACCCCCCTGCCTCATCCCAGAGCTCCCTCCCACACTCCAAATGCTTGGTTTACCAGAATATTTGATTAACTGTCTCTCCCTGCCCCCCAGACAAGCTGGAAAACAAAGTTTTAGGGGTATTTGTGTATAACACAAGGGTGTAGGCTATATATTTCCAGAATTAGGACTGCTCTACAAAACCTTAATGAAAAATCAATAAAAAGTATATTTGCCAACCTGGCCTGATTAACACTCTATATCCCTGATTTTGTTTCTCAGGGATGTGTAAATTTCAAGTTTGGAGTTCTGTATTCCAAAGATGGTCAACTTACAGATGATGAAATGTTCAGTAATGGTGAGTCTATACAGTCTTTTTGCCTTTTAATCTGCAGTTGAACACTTTTGGTTGCCCAAATGGAAAATCAACAGGACTGCATATTAACCCTGGAGAAGCTAGAAGAGATATGGTTATTAGTGGTATGCTAGTGGTGGGTCTTTTCTGTGTGCAAAGACTTGCAAATTTAATCCAGTGTAATATTGCATTATTTTTACATGTAAACTTAGAAGGATTAAAAAGTCTTCTTCCCCCAAAGAGGCCCGGCCAAAGAGTTTGCAGTGCCCAAGATGGCACGTTGTGGTTGGCTGCACCGTGTGGCTGGGTGGGTCCCAGCCAGGGCAGCGAGTGAGCAGCCGGGCGAGTGGGAGCGCGTGGGCGCTGAGTAGTGTGGGGTCCAAGGCAGCCACCTTGCCATACGGCCGGGCCTGCTCCCAAATGCTGTTCCAACATGTGTGATATTGCAAATGCACTAGGAGTAGCTCTGCATATTCCCACTTACGAGATATTGTGTCACTTTGTGATAGAACCCTTTTTCTAGCAGGGTAACTGGGGGCTCTTGTGTAAATTTGATTTTGCACATCTAATTATTGTATTATATTCAAACAAGATCTGAACAAATATTATGAAATATACCTAAAACATAATCTATAATAATGAATAATTACGACTTTCTGATATTAGTACACTTTTGTTGGTGTCCCTGAAAGCTATCAGTTTTTGTTTGTGCAGCCCTCAGTAGGCTTCGTATTTGACATGCCTGGTGTACCATTTTCATATTGCAATTTGTCAAAATCATCTAAAGTGTCTGATTTATGATGACTGGGCACCTTGTTGGCACAATGCTCTCATTTAGCTTTTCCTTGTCACCCAGAGTACTTACAAAAGTATCTCTGTGGTAGTGGCTTATTTAAAGAATCAAGGTATTGTCATTTATCCTTCTTGGAAGATTAGCTGCTAAAGGCAAATGTGCATGAGGACTCTGATGAACCATAGAGGCATTATGATCAAACTTCTCTCAGACCTAGGATTTTTTATCTTGCTTAAAGGATTCTCTTTAAAGGGACCATATTAAGCTCTTCAGAAGGGAGAGGTTTTCTGCCAGATGACAGCTTATTAAGAATGAGACAGAGTATATTAAATATTGAGAAGGGCAAGGTTTCTCATGAGTTTCTCTGCATGGCTGATAACGAGACCCATTCGACACTGGATATACTGGGTTCACGGTCCATGTCAGCTTTCAATTACTGATCACCATGCTTCATCACCTTAGAATGTCTGCAGACTGGTGGTCAAACAGGACAAATGTTCTCAAGGGTTTGTGCAATTCAGTTGTTCTGATTCATCCCTGACAGTAACATTGAATGTTTCAAACAATGGTTGGAGGGCACACCTGAATTATTTGACAGTTTGAGGGCTCTGGTCATCCTGGGAAAGAGCATCAAACATCAGCATACTGCAATTGGACTTTGACTCTCAAATCGTTCTTCTTTATTCTGCATAAGAACGGCCATACTGGGTCAGATCAACGGTCCATCTAGCCCAGTATCCTGTCTGCTGACAGTGGCCAATACCAGATGCCCCACAGGGAAGGATCACAACAGGTAATCCAACAGGATCCCTCCTCTCCCCTCCCCTGTCTGACCTCCCCTGTCACCCACCTCCAGAGAAATAGAGGCTAGGAACACCATTCCTACCCATCCTGGCTACTACCATTGATGGACCTAACCTCCATGAATCTATCTAGCTCTTTTTTGAACCCTGTTAAAGTTCTAGCCTTCACCACATCCTCTGGAAAGGAGTTCCAAACGTTGACTGTGCGCTGAGTGAAGAAAAACTTCCTTTTGTTTGTTTTAAACCTACTACCTATTCATTTCATTTGGTGACCCCTAGTTGTTATGTTATGGGAACAAGTAAATAACTTTTCCTTATTCACTTTTTCCATAACAGACATGATTTTATAAATCTCTATCATATCCCTCCCCCCGTAGTCTCCTCTTTTCTAAGGGTACGTCTAGACTACATGCCTCTGTCATCAGAGGCATGTAGATTATGCTACCAGACATAGTAAAATGAAGCGGCGATTTAAATAATCGCCGCTTCATTTAAATTTACATGGCTGCCACGCGGAGCTGACAAACAGCTGATCAGCTGTTTGTCGGCTCAGCACGATAGTCTGGACACACGGGTGTCGACATCAAAGCTATGTGTCGACCACCCAGGTAAGCCTCCTGGGATGAGGTTTACCTGGGTGGTCGACAAATACCTTTGATGTCGACACCCGCACGTCCAGACTATCGTGCTGAGCTGACAAACAGCTGATCAGCTGTTTGTCGGCCCCATCACACAGGGCATGAGTGATGCTTTTTGCCCAGATGTGGCCACGTCAGCAGTGATTTGCTTATCTCATTAACGTGTCTTCCTCTGTCCTCAGATCTGTCCAGGAAGAGGATCTTTCATCTGCGCCCGCAGGCCCTGCACCTGATGGCTTGAGTAAATGGGCATAATCCATAAGCAGTTTTATATGTCATCTGTGCAGGACGTACTCATTTAGTTTTAGAAAACAGCCAACTAGAAACTACCACCACCTAAAGTGGTCCAGATTTCAGGCATGTATGCTTGGGAAGTCTTATTGCCCTATAATCTTCCATCCCTTATCTTCTGGTATACTTAATGAATCAAGTGTTGTCTAATTCGTTGTTAAGAGTTCATTTGGCAACAGTCTCCATAACTCATATGTTGGTTGATGGTTGATCATTGTTCATGTTTCCAGTAAGAAGCTCATGGAAGGTTTTCAAATTTGCATCCTACTATGAGATATCCTGCCCCTTTTGGGACCATAATTAAGTTTTGACAACATTGATAAAATCTCCATTTGAATCTTTGGCAGAGTGTTTATTTTATTATTTGTCCTTCAGCATGGTCTTCACTGTTGCCAGTATATCAGCCAGGGGAGTGAGTAAGATGACTGGATTCTTCTCCGAGGAGTGTCCCCGTGGGTGCTCCACCTTTAGGTGCATCAGCGCTGCTACACCTCTGATCAGAGATTTGTGACAGTAGTGCCCTTGGCCAGCTATGTGTGTGGAGTACCGGCATGCTATCTGAAGAGGCTATTGCACATGCACAGCTGGCAATACTCAGGTACTTCCCAACTGCTGCCGGCTTCAGTTGCAGCTCAGCAGTTGCTCTTTACCTCATTGACAAGTTATGTAGTTACCCAGTTTTTTAGAAAGTTATTGTGACGGCGCGTTGGGGGTCCCCCGTCTCCTGCACCCCGAAATGGCACAAACGGACTGCACCAGCCGGTGGAATAGAGGAAGTTTATTGCCTCTCCAGGATACAGCACAGCCTAGATGTAATCTGGTCCCAGAGCTGGGCTAGGATGCCTCAGGCCCCCTTGAGATGGGGGAGACTGGGCCCCTAAACTCCAGCCCCTTCCCCTAGGCTGTCTCCTCCATGCTCTCCGACAGCCAGCAACCAACTAACTAACTTCCAGCCCTGCCCCCCAGCCAGGGCAGCATTCCACCTTCCTTTGTTCCTCTCCATGGGGGGTGTCTGGCCACTGGTTTGCATAGTGACTCATCCTGTTTTGCTGGGTCGTGGTACCCACGGCAGCCAGTGGGGGTTCCCCCAGAGCCAGCAGCATAGAAACCAGCCAGGTACCCCCACTACGTCACAGTTATTACCTCAGAAATCCTTTCCTAGTTGATACTCATTAAACTTTCTCTTAGATTTTAGTGATAGATTAAAACGAAACAAAAATATACTTTCAATAGATATGCCCTACCATAGTTAGCTTTTTAGCCAAGCAGTTAAGTGGAAATGCATGGACTGGTGGTGTTCCCAGGCTGGGATATGCCTGGTTCACCCGGATTCAAAAAGTGTATGGGCTGCAGGCTATCTATTTCAGTCTCAAATGGACACAAACAGTGCATCCGCTGTCTGAGGGAAGGAACACCCCACGGAACATTGCCCTCATTGTCAGAAATTGACAGCATGTTCCAGAAAATTGAGAGAATTACAACTAAAAATGCTCCAGCTGGAGAAGAAGGCTTTGTTGGCTTCTGACCCCAAGCAATCTACCCCTCCCAGACAGAAATCACCTGGGATGGGGTCAGAGAGAGCAACTCCCTTGGGTTAAGTCCAAAAGACTGGGATAATACCCAAAGAAAAAGGTCCTATTCTTCCTTAGGGTTGACTCTCCCCTGAGGAAACATCCTCTCTAGAAAAATGCTGCACCCCTACTCCCAGCACAAAAGGGGTTGGACAAGCATCCTACAAATGGGGCCAGCAGTGAAAGGAGCTGTGACCCCAAGCACCAAGAACGTGCCTCAGCTAAGGCGCCGATAGAGGCAAAACGCAAAGCCTCCTCATCAGCACCGGTTAAAACACCCTCAGCACCAGCTACGGTGCAAAATAAACAGCTCCTGCAAGCAGCACTGAGCACAAGCTTTGCTTGAGGCAGCAGCACTGGCACCATCAAAGCACTTGGTGCTGACCTGGCACAAAAAGAAGCTGGGAATCCAATTAAATCTGCTGAACACTCTGCTCACCTTGCAACCTCCATTACTACCCTCTCCCCTGCCATTACCACACTTTATAATGGCAGCGGTACTCTCTGTAAACTCGGTACTGGCGACTCCTCTATTTGGCACTGATGGTACCCCAAACACCTCAAGGTATACTTTCTCATCCACTCCAGCCACTTCAGCTGCCCCGATGATGCGGAGGAGGTGTCCAATCAAGCACACTTTCCGTGACACTCCTCCCCTAAGCCTCAACAACAAATGCAACAATGGCAGTCTCCACAGTGATATCCACCACCTATTCTGCATAACTGGGACCCATGGGTGGCTTATAAACCACAGCAGGTGCAACAGCCAGAACAGCCATCCCTGACCCTGTGGTCCCACTCACCAACTGTGCAGTCTCTAGAGCACTACAGTTCAGATGCAGAGGAGCAGGATGTGGATATTATGGGGGATGAACAGATATCCCAGTCTCCCCCACCCACTCATACT